TGATGGTTGGGTTGTCCTTAACTTACAGACAACTCTCAGAGGTTCAGAATGGATCTGTAGGCTGGCCAGAGTCAGTGTAGCAAAGAAATAAAAGTTGGAGTGGAAAAATCCACACCACTCCCTGTGTCTGCCTGCCTGCCTTCATGAATTTTGCTTAGAGAAGCTCCAGCCAAGTCCACCTGTTATGATCAGTACTGTCTCCTGTTAGTGCAAGGGTCACCAGTGCCATATGTTAGCTTCTGGCGCAAACCAGAAAACAAAAACCTCACAGAATTCTCCTTCATACTCTCAAAGATGGGAGTCTCCAGAGCTAACATGGACAGAATTCACCACCCAAGCTAGCAGCTAATTGCAGGATTCTTCAGGGTTATTGTGAATTTCATAATGACTGATTAAGAAGGGGAAGGGGAGGAAAGGTGAGAGTAGGAACCTTAGTGGGGTGAAAGAGGGGAGGGGGAGAGGAGCAAGGTGGACGAAAGGACTGAGCCCAGGGAAAGCTGGGTGACAGTCACGGGTTTGAATTGCACCAGAGGGCGGTCAGCACCGTGGACAGCCACACACAAGGCACCCTGGGAACTCCCCTGGCTCAACACAACTCTCAGCATCTTCTCCACGGGAACCCAGCATCTTTCAGGCAAACGCAGCCCCTTGTGACCTCCTAATTAATCACAACTGTCTCCGACCACCAGCTGGTCCGTCCCTCGGGGAGAGAGCTGAACTCGATGGCACGTTTAGCAAACTGGTGAGACAAATGCAACCTCACCAAGAAGATAATCCATTTCCAGGTTCTTTGACATCGAGCCTGTGTTAAGGCAGAATGGCAGGGCATCTGTAGGGATCGACCTGGCCCACCTCTGAATATCTTCACTGCTTGCTGCAGGAACAAGCGACCCCCTCACAGGCCCATCCGTGTGATGCTCAGGGAATAAATGCCCCGTGGGATCTTGAATGGAGGTGTTCTATGTGTTTTCTCAAGAGACTCTGAAAATGGAGTCTTGTTTCTGCCCTCTCCATTTCCTGGAAAGGTCACTTGCTTCTTCACCTATGTAACCTGTGCTATTGGTCATGAGCCAGTGACTCGGACGACACACCTATCTTAGTTGTTTACAGCTAAAGCAGATCCCAGGTATGAGAGTCAAGGGTGCTTTGGAGTTGGGGCAAAGGCAACAGAACCAGGAGACAGGAAATGGGTCAGGGGTGAGGGATCAAGGGAGAAAGAAGTTAGGCAAAACTGAAACCTTATAGAAGCGATGTTCCAAATGGGAGTCAGAAACCCATTCCAGGCATTCACAGTCTGCGGACGGCACCATGGCGTTGGAAAGACATGCTGGTCACGCCTCCCGGTGTGCGTCCAGGCCTATTCAGGTCTAGACCTCTTTGCCAAGATTTCCCCCATGTTCCTTGGTAATGTGTCTCAGATCTGGGTGCTCTTTCCTTCTTTACTAGAGAAAGCTTTATCCACCATTTGAGGATCCCTACCAAATGTGCTGCCTTCTATGATGTCTGCCAGGGTGTCCCATGGAGTCATTTCTGTTCTCTGTATATCAGTTTCCACAGTGCACAATGGAGACAGATGAGGAAGATTATTCCAACGAGACATTAGCTGAATCTGGACTGTTGCTTCTGGCTGAAAGCTGGTTCACCTAGACTCCCCAGAAGAGGATTCCACTCAAGTGTCCCCTTGGCTCCTTCAGGCTGCCTCTGCTTACTCCCAACTGGCATCCAACTGCTACCCCAGGATTGTGGCTTCCCTGGAAGAGAGGCTACACCTCCCATGCTGCAGCTACATGAAAGTGCACAGTGCCCTGCTTTTCCATATGCCACGCTGCTGACTGCTGAGTGGGAGCCTAGAAGGCATCCTAGCTGGACATCTGGTCAACCTCCTGTCTTCTTGCCCACACCACCTTCACTCTAGTCTCAAGGGAAGCAGCCTCGAGGCTTGGGCTTTCCTTTAGTTCTCTGGCGGATGGCTTCATTCCTTGCGTACCACCCTCTGGTGAGCAGAGGGTGTAGAGTTCTTCTCTGGGTAGAAATGACCCTGTCTCCTTTTAGACACGATACGACAGGCAGTATGATGCCACACTCAGGGCACTTTTACTATCACAGAGATGGGCAGGCTGAGTAGGGAGGATGCTTTCCTGCCAGCCAGTCCTCCCTCCATGTGTAAAGACCACTTCACATAAGAGATATCCACCACCTATGTGTGTTATACATCTCATCCAATTGAGAAGCTTTTGGTTTAAGTGTTACACCAGAGGATTGAGGGTCGTGGTGTCCCAGATTATCTAGTTAGCAAGACACACAACCTAAATCTTTCCCACCCATCCCAGGAGCATCCACAAGCAGCAGCAGCAGCAGCAGCATCCTCTCTAAGCAACTGTAACACTCTGAGGCCGTCTATTCAGATGGTCAACATATTACTATTTTAATGACTTGATATTAGTACAAATGAAGTCAGTCATGAGGATGAGAAATCTGCCACTTTCTTAGAACCTTGTTGCGCCAATGGTCAGACCCAAGCCCACTGCACAGGTTTTTCTCCAGCTGAGATTTCCTCCCTCCGCACTCTGACAGCTAGATCTTCAGACATGAACCAAATGGGGTAAGCATGCATTTGCAAACTGGTGACAAGCACAACCCTGTTAGCAGAAGGCCACCAAAGCTCAGGAACTCAAGCCCTGAACATATCACCCAGTGACAGACTGTTATAGAGACAGCCTCAGAGAAGACACCCTGTCCCCACAGCCAACCAGGAACAAAGCTCCTGCCAAACTCAGCTGTGCATTCCTGCCTCAGTGTACCAAGGATGGGGGCTATGGACCAACAGCCTGGAATAGCCTGTGGGCATCTTAGGGATGTAGAACCCAGCTGTGTTCAGACCTGTCATTCCAGCTGCTCTGGAGACTGAGACAGAGGCTTCACAGGTTCAAGGCTGCCGGGGCTACGGACTGTTTAAGGATGAAGATGGGGTGTAGACAGGAGTTATCTAGCATGTCTGAGATCCTGGGTTCCATGCCCGCCACTGCAAAAGCCAAAATCCAAACCAAATGAGGTCATGGTAGTTTGAATGAAAAAATGTTCTCCATCATCTCAGGCATCTAAAGACTTAGTTCCCCAGCTAGTGCTGTTTGGGGGAGGTTCTGGGGAGGTATGGCTTTGCTTGAGGAAGTATGTCACTGGGGTTGAACTTTGAGAGGTTTTTTTTTGTTGTTGTTGTTTCTGTTTCTTTGTTTATTTTTGAGATAGGGTCTCAGTCTGTAGCCCTGGTTATTCTGGAACTTACTCTGTAGACCAGGCTGGCCTCAAACTCAGAGGCCTGCCTCTGCCTCCTGAGTACGAGATTAAAGGCGTGCGCCACCACACCCAGCCCTGGACTTCGAGATTCAAAGCCTGGTGCTATCTCTGTTTGCTCTCTGCTTCATGCCTGTGGCTGAGATGTGATTGCTCAGCCTTCTGCTCCTGGCTCCATGCTCTTCTCTTTCTAGAACCACAAGCACAAATAGACTCTTCCTTCTCTATGCTGCCTCGGCCATAGTGTTTTAACACAACAGGACAAAAGTGACATGTACAGAAGCTACTCCATTTCATGAAGTGAAGTCTGAAGTGGAGCCTGGCTCACAAGCCCCAGGAGCCTGTGCCTGGCTAGTTTTATGTCAACTTGACACAGGCTCAAGTCAGTTTGGAAGAGAAAATGCCCCTGCCACGTTGGTCTGCCTGTACTGTACTTTTGTTGATGACTGACGTGGGAGGGGCCCAGTCCTGGATTGATGGTTCCGGGTGGTATAAGAAGACTGGGTGAGAAAGCCATGCGGACTAAGCCAATAAGCCGTGTTCCTTCATGGCCTCTGCTTCAGTTCCTGCCTTGAGAAGAGCCTGACAGTCTGGATGATGGTCTGTGAGGTGGAAGTGAGATTAACCCTCTTCTCCCCAAGTCGGTTTTATTGGGGGGTCTAGCACAGCAATAGAAACCCTGACGAAGGCGAAGCCCTTGTGGTTTTTCTTCCTGCCTGTGTGGGCCTTGGCAAAAGTCCTTCAATGCATAAAGCCTCATCCCCTCTCTGTGGATAGCAATGGTTGCTAGTGGCAACTCCTGGGAAAGGCTATGGGAAGAGACCTGGAGTCAAGCCTGACCTGAGCTTAGCACCTGGTTACCAGTGGACTCTTGACAAGCAGGTAAGAACTGGAACTCAACACCCCCTGCTTAGGAAGGGGCTGTGGGACAGCGGCTGCAGCAAAGACATCTCCTGCCTCTCCCACCTGCTCTCCTTGGTTGCAAACTACCAAGCTGGGAACACTGGCAAGCTCAGGGGAACTCTGAGAAGCCAGCGGAGCTAAAGAAAGTCCCCACTGCTCAGAGTTGTGGCATTGCAATGGGTTTCTGGTCTCAAATGGAAGCAAGTAAAAGCAATGCCTCAGGCTTGCCCATCCTCCCTCCTTCCCTTCCTTCTTCCACTTCTTTTTATTTTGTGGTCCTGGAGATTGAATTTAGGGCCTAGTGCACGACAGGCAAGTGTTCTACCACTGAGCTACATCACCAACACCCTCCGAGCCCTTCAACTTGTTTTGAGACTGGTTCTCACTATGTAGCCCAGGCTGGCCTCAAACTCTCTGTGTAGCCCAGGCTGGTCTTGACTTGGAATCATCTCCCACCAGCCTCCCCAGCAGCAGGGATGTCAGGCCTGTGCCACGAGGTCCGGCTTTCCTTGTGCCTACTTCCAAGGCCACTATGAAGATGGCATGAAGTGCTCGGGAAAGGACAAAGGCTTTGTGCTCTATCTTAGAAGAGACAGGCCAAGATCAGGTTCAGCCTCAGGGCAGAGGAGAGCAGGGACACAGGAATGTTGAGTGGCTGGAGTGGACGCCGGGGTGGGAGGGGAAGCCTATGGTGGCTTTGGGGTGATGGGGCGTCATAGACGGCGCAGGGCAGACATTGAAGATGAGAGCAGTGGGCAGTGGAGGGCTAGTGTGCCCCAGCAGAGGGGAGGGGAAGACTCACGTACACCTGCGGGCAGACTCCTGGGCCAGCTGTAAGCGGTAGACCGAGAGGCGGTTGACCCCACCACACACGCTTCCTCGCTCGCCCTTGCAGTCCATATCACACTCGGCTTCGCTCACGTTGGCTGCCTGGATCTTGTGGCCACAGTAGCACTCGGCGCCGAACTCCAGCCCAGCATACAGGTAACCCCTGGGGGAAGCAGGTGTCAGGCAGGACCACACGGCCAGGGAGACCCCAGGGGATGGGAGACACCCTCAGGTAACAGGATCCGGGAGACTTTGGGGTACAGGGGATGGACAGAGTCTCCACGAAGCATGGAGACCACGGAGTGATAGCACATAAGACCTCAGAAAGGGGACAAAGGGGCTGGAGAGGCAGAGAGCTTGGAGGAGGAATGGGGGGTCATAATTACTACAAAGGGAAGGACAACCTGTTGGGAGTCACAGAGGGTGGGGAGTCAGTGAGCCTGAGGCACCTGGAGGGGGGAAGGAATTCAGAGACCCCCTTGGGGACAGGGAGAACATCTTGGGGATACCCACCAGCCCTCATCACTGCCTGCTGTGCTGTATCCCCATAACACTTCCCATGTCCATATTAACACACTTACACATAACACACAATTATAACACTCTATACACACACAGATTCACTTATACATATACATTCACAGATACTCATACACATTCACTCATATACACACATTAACGCATTCACATACAAGTACAAATTCACACAATCACTCATGTGCACACACGTATTCACTCAAACATTCTCCCTCTCTCTCTCTCTCTCTCTCTCTCTCTCTCTCTCACACACACACACACACACACACACCCCTCCTCCAGTCCTCTCTCAGCACTGCAGGCCCCAACCTCTGCCTTCCACAAAACATCACCCAAGGAGACACCTCCATTGCCAAGTCCCCTGAGAAGCACTGGGGAAGGGGAGGAGGCAGGGTGCTTGCACCCCTTTGGCAGGCTATAAAGCCAAGCTCACAGTTCCAGCCAAGAAAAAAATTTCTTCCCCGAAAACAAAGCAAAACAAAATTCCAGGAGTTCTAAGGAGATGCTATTTGTTTCCTTGCTGTGAAATTCATCCCTAAAAAGGACACTCAGTGGACACGGGTCTAAACACAGTCTAAGGGAGGCTGTGGGCTTTGGCTGAGGACTCGGGGAAGGGGATGGGGAGGTCTTGTCAGCCCCCTGACCACCATGCTCCCAGAGACAGTCTCCAGAGCCATGGGGGCTCCTCAGAGAGAGACCTGCAAAAACCCCAAAGGAATTGTCAGTGGCTATGGCTGCCTCCTACTCAGTGCTGGTGGATGGGCAGAGCCGCCAGATCTGTGCTTGCACAGACCCCGGTGACTAGGTGGCGTTGGCCTTTCTCCATCTGCCTACTTTCTGGGAGGCAAGAACAGGAGACATGACTGAGCATCTTGGAACCTTACTTGCCTCCATGTCCTTGTCGCTCTGAGCCTGCTTCTCAGACATCCCCGGGCCCCCCTCCTACAGCGGAACCCACAGACAGACATCCCCGGGCCCCCCTCCTGCAGCAGAACCCACAGACAGACATCCCCGGGCCCCCCTCCTGCAGCAGAACCCACAGACAGACATCCCCGGGCCCCCCTCCTGCAGCAGAACCCACAGACAGACATCCCCGGGCCCCCCTCCTACAGCGGAACCCACAGACAGAAGCAACATTCCCAAGGAAAGTATGTTACTGATTCTGAAACAAGGGATAGCCTGTAACTCAGAGCCAGAAGGGATGAAGGTTGAGGAGGAGGGGCATGGTTCTAGAGAGGACTCAATGGCTTCCAGCTGGTGAAGGGGCTTGTATTGCCAGTTGGTCCCCTGGCTTGGAAGAGCTGGGAGTTCACAGGGCATCTGTACACTGCTCTCTTAGAGAGGTGCAGTTTAAAGCCACGCATGATGGCACAGGCCTGCAATCCCAGCCACTCGGAACCGGAGACAAGAGATTGAGAAGACTTGCGATCACACAAGGACTGTTTCTTAGAAATGGTCAGGTGTCATGACTACGCTCATCAAAGTAACCAGCTGACCGTGCACACCATACCACACAGCTGACCGTGCACACCACACCTCACAGCCTCCTCCCCAGCACAGTTCACACAGCTGACCATACACACCACACCTCACACATCTCCTCCCCAGTGCAGTTCACACAGCTGACTGTGCACACCACACCTCACAGCCTCCTCCCCAGTGCAGTTCACACAGCTGACCATACACACCACACCTCACATCCTCCTCCCCAGCACAGTTCACACAGCTGACCGTACACACCACACCTCACACATCTCCTCCCCAGTGCAGTTCACACAGCTGACCATACACACCACACCTCACACATCTCCTCCCCAGCGCAGTTCACACAGCTGACCATACACACCACCCCTCACACATCCCCTCCCCAGTGCAGTTCACACAGCTGACCATACACACCACACCTCACACATCTCCTCCCCAGTGCAGTTCACACAGCTGACCATACACACCACACCTCACACATCTCCTCCCCAGTGCAGTTCACACAGCTGACCATACACACCACACCTCACAGCCTCCTCCCCAGCACAGTTCACACAGCTGACCATACACACCACACCTCACACATCTCCTCCCCAGTGCAGTTCACACAGCTGACCATACACACCACACCTCACACATCTCCTCCCCAGTGCAGTTCACACAGCTGACCGTGCACACCACCCCTCACACATCTCCTCCCCAGTGCAGTTCACACAGCTGACTTGCACACCACACCTTACACACCTCCTCCCCAGCATAGTTCACACAGCTGCAGTCATACTCCCACAGACCACACTCACATGAATCTTTGTGTACGCACAAGTATGTGAACACATATGCACACACACATGCACAAACATGTATATATACGTTTTAGATGTGTGTAGACACATGCATGCACATTAATCATGATTGCAATCCTTTGTTTCTACAGCCCTTGTCCACCCTCTGCCAGTCTTTCCACAAGGCCAAGGACACCATGGAGGGAACCCTGGGTAGAAAGAGTTGGAATGGATATGTCTGGGAACATGGTAGAGGCGGTGGGGTGGAGGTCACTACCGTTCAGCACAGTTGTCCTGGCAACGGAAGACTGTCATCTTTTTGTAGTCAAAAAACGATACTCCTCGCAGGGCCCGACTCTGGGTGTTGTCCAGGTAGCAGCCGATGTACTTGGCTATGGGGAAAGAGGAAGAAAGGAGATGAAGCTGGGGGTCTGCAGGAGGCCCTTCCCAGTGTGGCTTTGCCAAGTGTATATGTAATGCCTGATTCTGTCCTCAGGGTACAAACAGGAGATGGGAAATGCCAGACCCTGGCCGATGAGGGCAGTGGGCCTGAGTGGGTGAGGCTGCAGGCCCTGATGACCAGGGCACAGGAAGGACTCCCTTTCCTGGGCCACAGCCAAGTCCAGCAGTCTCCTGGTGACATTGGCCACCGGGGCCACATCCCTATCCTAGAAGGAGCTTGACTCACCCAGGATAAGGCCTGTTTTAGCAGCTGTGGAAGGTCTGGAAGGCACGCTCCTTTCTGTTGGCAGCCTCAAGGGTCTCGCTGCACTTGGACAGTTTGAGGTTCAGCCCACATTTCACTCTGTAATTCCCCAGTTCTGATCTACGGAGCTTAGGTGGGGTGACTTTCCCAAAGCCTTGCTTTCCTTGATTTGGGGCTGAAACTACAACCAGCTGGAGTGGAATGACTCACAAACGTTCCTACTGTCCTGTCCTGTATGTACTAGGCGCAATGTTCTGCGGAGCAGGATGAGAAACTGGCCGCTCACTGGGCAGGGCACACTTTACAGTTTATATCCGTGGTGGAGCTGGGTAGATGCTTCCACCTGCGAATCACTTCAGATGATTGCTAAGAACCATCCAGTTATTAACTGTGAACACATGGCTTTTCTTTATGTCAACCAGGAACTCACACACAAAGATGGCACTTTACAGTTTGTGCAAAATCTCGCCTCACTTTTCTTAACACCTGGACTCAAGCTACAGTAAGTGCTTTTCATGCACAACCCACTGAGTCCTCACCAAGACTCTGTGAGAATAGCATCTCTGTTCTGCAGTCCAGAGAGGACGTCATCTGCTCAGGGTAACACAGCATGTATAAACGAAGCCAGAGTTGGGCACGCACAGCCTGGCTCCAGATCCTGCTTCTGGATGGTTGGGACGTGCCTGCACTCTGGGAGACCTGGCATTTCGCCCTTACAGAGGCCTAGAGAGGAGAGACTGAATGCTGGACAAAGATTCACATGCGGGTCTCTGGGACCCACACCAGCTCTTCCTGCCCTTTCCCTTGGGGAAAAAAGGATCCATCTGGGTCCCAGGGAGTGACCAGGAAAACCTCAATGTCATTTGACACTTCTCTGCCTAGGGGACTGCCCAGGTTAAACAAGCAGCAATCCCTGTCCTTGTACTGAGGGGCTGTTGTCAGTCTCTGTCCTGGCAACTTGGACTTCCTTCACAAGAACAGTCTGACTTCAAAGGGAGTATTGCTGCCCCAACATGTCCCCTCCCTGCATCCTGTGAGCCCATCACTAATGACAACTCTGGAGGGTCCCACTGGCCTTTTTTCTTTTTGGACATACTAAATGCCTCCCGTCTCAGACAGAATCTCAGCTGACAGGGTGCTACAGGCACAGGACAGGGTCAGCCACATGCTTCATTTGGGCCTTTGCTTGTTTATTTCTGTTTCAGGTAAAACCCAGGCCTGACACATAGTTGGTCAGCACTCTACCACGGAAACACGATCTCAGCCTTCCTAACATTTGAAACTCTAAATTTACAGGCTCCTTAGGAACCCATTTTTTTAAAAGTGTGTGTGCGTGCACAGATGCCTGCAAAGTCAGAAGGGGGCTTGAATCCCCTGGAGTTACAGGAGGTTGTGAGTTGCCTGATGCAGGCGCTGGGAACTCTACTCATGTCCTATACATGGGCAGTGTACGCTCTTAACTGCAGAGCTACCTCTCCAATCCCACTGGGATCCATTTTATAGACAGAGAGTCAATTATTGGGACACTAACATCCTCTTGCCTCTGCCTCCCAACTGGTTCCCTAACCCAGTTAGGGCTGGTAGCCCTGCCCATCTACTGGCCTGCTGGAGTTATGCCCCGAATTCTTACGGATTAAAGCTGGCAGTCCCCTGCCTTCCCTGGCTCATGATGCTGGCATTCTGTAAGACCAAAGATGACAACAACTGGTATCAAGTTCAGTCTGTGCAGGGGAGCAATAAATGGGGGTGTATGTAGAACAATGGGGAGGTGGGAGAGAGAATAAGGAAGGAGAGGGAGGAGAGAATTAGGAAGTGTTGCAGTCTAGGTATCAGAGCCCTTCTGCAGCCCAGCAGCGTGGGAGGCAGGAGGACACTCCCCAGAACCTGATGCTGAAGCTCACTGACTTGCTGAAAGACCACAAGAAAGGTCTCAGACTAAACCCCAGTTCAGATTCATCTCCTCCAAAGCTGCCATTTCTGGCAATGCTACCCTGAGGCAAGACCCTGGGGGTTTCTCCATCCTGCTCACACACCAGGGTGGGGGACTAGACAGTCAGGGTAGGATCATATGTCCTTCTCCCCCCAAATCGGGACTTTTAGTTTGAAATGGAATGCTCACTGTGGCAGACTCCTTTCTCAGTTAGTATGGTGTGGTGTGGGGGATGGAACTCAGGGGTCTAAATGGACTACTGGATGCTGCATGACTCTACCCTGGCCTCCCCAGGCTAGCATTAAACTGAGATGTCCTCTACTTGTTGAAGGGACACTTGAAGGCCTGTTTCCTCATCTGTCAACAGAATGGAGACACAAAGTCCTCTGTGCTTTAAACACAGGCCTGTCACCACTGCCCTGTGAAGTCAGTGTCAGGATACACAAGCTGAGTTACTTTTCCTACCTCCCCTGACCAGGAGTCCCCTCCCTGGCAGCCTATCTGGTCCCGATCCCTGGACTATCACAGTGCTGCCAAGGTTGAGCTCAGTCTCATGAATGACAACCCTGGAACCTCCCTCAGCCTTTCCCAGGACCTGTGCTCACATCTCGCAGTGGTGGCAGAACCTCTCAGAGACAGGGGAGTTCAGGTACGTAAAACAGGGACACAATGTCACAGGCCACATGAAGGGGGATTAATGGCTGAGCTCACACAATCCACAGCATCTCCAGCACCCCAAAGACTGCTGAAATACTAAGGAGCCGGGCTGGCACCATGTCCAGCCTGGAATCTGGCGTGCGGCATCTCATAGCGCTGAATCTCCTCTCCACACATTTTCTTCTGCTCTCATTAATTCATGGAATTTCCCCCTCTCTGACAGAGGCCGTCTGCTAAGAGGGTGGTCGAGCACGAGCAGGTTTGAACGCTTTCTTCTGTACTGTTGGGAACACACCTCTGAGATTCCCGCTGTGCAGAGTCAGCCAGATCTGGGAGTGCGGTGCCTATCCACAGAACTGGGCTCTAGCAAGTGGGATCAGACATTCTACCTGGGGTGCCTTGAGGTGACCCGTGTCTTACACACAGCCCCTGCCCAAGAGCGACACCAGAGTCTTAAGCCCAATACCTCAGAATATTGCCTTGTGACAGATGGCCACACTGCCCCAGATCAGGTGATAAAGTCAACTGGAGGAGGGAGGCTCCAAACCAACAGAGCTGATGATCATGTGACCAAATGAGATGAAAAGAGGACACTGGAGAGAGCGTGTGGCCCCTACAAATGGAATAAACGGATGAGTGGAGATAAGTGTGCATATATTTACATGAATAGTATGTATTGTTTGATTGTATGTTCACAGGTATACGTGCGTGTGTATGTGTATTTGTGTGTAGGGTGAGCATTCATGCATGTGTGTATTGTGCATCTATGTGCACACGTGTATGGAATGAACACTTCCATACACATGTACACATCATGTGTGTATATTTGTGTGTTGGGTGAACATTCATGCATGTGTGTGCGTGCACATGTGTGAGGTGGATATTTCCATACGCATGTGCACACTGTAGCTGGAATCAGGTGCTGCTCCTCAGGTGTCTTCTGCCTTGCTTTTGAGACAGGGTCTCTCACTGGCCAGGAACTCACCTAGTAGGCCAGTCAGTGAGCCCCAGGGACCTACCTGTCTCTCCTCCCCAGTGCTCAGATTGAGTACTACAAGCCCAGCTTTTCTTATATGAGCTCTGATCCTCTGGTTCTCTGTGTGAAATGGGACTCAATAATTTCTACACGCAGTGATGTGCAATCCCAAGCACTTGGGCAGACTGTCTGCTGCAGTTATTGCTTCTGCATCTTCCACCAGAGGAGATGAGGAGTGGGCTCCCCGCTACTCCTGAACAGGGTCACACAACCCTCCCCATGTCTCTCCTTCACACTCCCTGCTATCTCAGGGAAATTTTGAAATCTAGCTGGGTCTCGCTCCCTGGCTCTCCCTGAGCAGCTGTGTGACCCAGGCAGCTCACATGACTTCTGTGCAGTTCCCTCCCTCAAGGGCAGACCCCGGGGTGTTGGGGATATTATTGTAAGGTGTGTGACATATGCTTATGCTGCATTTGTTTAACTCTGTGAAGCTGGATTCTTTGCCTGCCTACAACACCTGATGATCCTACTAAAGGGTTGAATGGCCAGTAGCAAGACAGGAGCAAGGACAGGTAGGGCTGGCAGGCAGAGAGGCTACGAGAGAACAAGGGGAGGAGGACATCAGGAGCCAGCCACACAGCCAGCCTCAGAGTAAGAAGGAAAGTAAGAGATACAGAAGAAAAGGAAAAAGCCTGGAGGCAAATGGTAGTCGGGATAATTTAAGTTAAGAAAAGCTGGCAGGAAACAAGCCAAGCTAAGGCCGACCATTCATAACTAAGAATAAGCCTCTTGTATAATTTATTTGAGAGCTGGGTGCTGGGCCCCTCAAAAAGCCAAAAGAATAGAAGAGAAAGCACAACACTGGGGCAACTTACGGATCCACATCTGTGGGTTTCGGTTTACACACTTACTCAGCCTGTTTTGCTCCTGTGCTCCTTCCTCCTTGGTTGGAGGGAGTCATGAAGTACTCCATGACTGTTGTGGGGTTGGAAGCCATACGTGATGCGTGCACACTGCCCTGGGAAGTGCCTGGCTCTCAGCACCCTCCATTTGACTCACAGCCATCTGAGGTTGGATGCTTTGTCACCCATGACCTGCTCAAGGCTGTACAGCACAGCTTGTAGCATAGGGATCTGAACCCTGGTCTGGGAGCTCAATGCTCAGGCTTTCACAAGGCTGGCATGGGCGACAGACTCACGAACTGACCAGTACCGACTACACCCGGGGGTCTGACGTCATCTCCACCCAGCCGCAGTTCTTCCCCTCCCCCTCTTGGCCCCATGGGCTCAGAAGCTCAGGTCCTGCATGTCCACATACAGCAGGGATGCTCAGGAGGGAGCCATGCTTCAGTGCCAGATCAGAGAAGACTTCGATCTCGATGGTGCTGGACCCCAAATCAGTCCGTCAACAGATGGGCTGCATCTGTACTGTTCTAAAGACACTGCCTGCCGAGAGTCTGGAGTTTGGGGTTACTTTTCTGTACCCTTTCCCTTCTTCCTTTGCATTTCATAAATACGTATAAGCACAGAAGCTCTCATGCTTTGGAACTCAATCACCCTTGTTTCAAACTTCAATTATCCTGCAAACAGCCGGTGTAACCAGTGGAAGCCACTGCTCTCTGAATTCAGTCTTATCATGTGTAAAACGGACTAAAAGGGCTTCTAAGTCATGAAGTGGTGCTAGTTAAATAAAGCAACGGATCAATCCAACATGGTCCAGTCCACAGGGCAGCTACTAAGTGACATATTATCACAAACCACAGGGTGTGGCAGGGACGTGCATAGACCATCCCATTCTTGTGAGGGCCCACAGTTCCATCCTAATGGTCAGAGTTCAGGCCCATTCTTGCTCCTCAAGGACGAACAACAAAATGTTGACCAAAGGTGTGGCTACTGGACGCCTTACTCTTCAAAGGCCAGTCAACAGGACGTTTTGAATTAGGGCGTGGTTACCAGGTGTTCTGAGACGTAAGGAGGTAATTATGCTTGCTTGCCCTTTGTATCACGGAGTCTTGTGTCCTCCCCCTTTTGTTTGCATTATGTAAAGGCTGTGAATAAAAACTCAGGGATTTTGGCTTTTTGCTTTTGGCCACAGTATCCACTGGACGCCCTCCCGACTCTATCTGTTGGCTCTTATGTATTTCTTCCCTCAATCCACACTCCCGTCCTATGGAACATACAGACCCGGACACATTCTAAGCCAGGAGCAGGAAACAGTGCTGAGCATGGCTAGGCAGCTCAAAATGGCATTGTTAGTGTTGACGGCCATAATGGCCATCTATTAGTATCTCAGTATGCCACAGTGGTGGGGTCCAGCATCCCTTGTGACTCAACACATGTATGAAATGCGGTGTTTGCACTGAACTCCCTCACGAGTTCTACAGCTCTCTCTAAAAGACTTTAGGCCCTAACGCAGTGCGAAAACTGAAAATTCAAGGGGGGGGGGGGATCCTGTGTATGTTCCTTACAGATGCATTTTTCTCCTGTGATTTTTGTTTGTGGTTGGCTGAAACCGAAGGTATGAAGCGTCAGTCATGGGGAGCTGACTGTATTCATTCTCACAGCCCACAGGGACATCCACGCCCAGATCCACTGTCACAGCTGCTCTTGCATGGTACGGAGAAGAAAAAAGCATCTGATTAGACTCGGAAGGGACAGTGTTCTGGAGGTAGACAAAGCTGAAACTAGGAGGTCCCCTGGCAGAGGGAGAACCACACATTCATTTTCCCATCCAGTCACTCTCTGGGCCCGCCTGGAGCCACAAGCGTCCACCTGGCGCTGTCCCAGGTGCTGACGGGTTGAGCTGGCCAAGCACTGGAATATTCTTGCCCCAGAGTGCAAAGACCCAATTGTACAAGGAAGGTGCCTTTGGATGGTGATGCACCAGGCAGCAGAGTAAAGCTAAGGAGTATGATTGTGACCAGACAAGGAGCAGAACTGGTTAGGACACTCTGGGAGCGGCTACGGGGGAGAGGGGGGGACCTGAGTGGTGACTACAAGGAAAGGAACTAAGCATTATACAGGGAGAAAGGGCAGAGACCCTGGGGCAAAGACAGCAAGGAGAATGAGTGTGCAGGAGGGAATCTGAGAGCTTAAGGAGCAGGCAGGCGAGGACTAGGAGCTTTCATAAGATTGGGAGGTGTTTGGAGTGGTCAGAGATGGAGCTTGAGTGGAGAATATGGAAAACAGAGTGATTTCTCTAAAAGATCAATCTCTCATGCCTTGCCATGCTAAGACATGGCCGCCCCTCGAGTAGATCCTGGAGGTACTTCCTGAACACTGATTGCTAACTGCCAGTTCTGTCCCAGCTGGGTTGCCTGATCCACGTCCCACTGGTTCTCAGGACTTCTTAGAAGTGAGCCACTGTTAGGTCCATGTGTCAGGTGTGGAAGCTGAGGCACGTAAGGTCAAGCCATTGCTTAGACCACACAGATGGCTAAGGTGGGGTTGAAATCCTAGGCCAAGACCCCCAGGCCACTCTGTGAGCTCTGGGCTTTCTCACAGTGTCGGGAGGTAGAGTCTCCTGGAGAACTCCAGAGCCAGGTTCAGGGTGGGACTGGGGCAAGAGCACCTGTCCTTAAAATGGGTCTCTTGGTGAACCTTGTGCCTTTTGGGGTGGAGAGGGGCTTCCTACAGTGGCACACATGGGCTTGTGGTACCAATCCTCTCATCCCATTCTCACTGGGTTCCCTGTACATCCTCCCATATTAATCTCATGAGTTGTGGCTATGACTGGTTTCCCTAGCTTGCGGTCATGTGGCATCTGCCAGTGGAGTGTGGGACACCTGTAGTAGCTGCCAAAGGAGTGGGGGTACCTTCAGAGAAAGCCAAGAGTCTGGGCAGATGGTTTAAAATCCGGATTATACTGGAACTGGCTGTGCAGTCCTGAGCCAGCATCTTTACCTTTCAAACCTTGGTTTCCACATCCAGTTCTTGTTTGTTTTTAGTTAAGTGCTTGTGTGGTGGTGGCTTTGTGCCAGAGGCATGGGATCCTCCTGGAGCTGGAGGCACAGGTAGGTGTGAACCACCCAACATGGGTGCTGGGAATGAAACCCAGGTCCTCTGCAAGAGCAGCATGGGATTGTGCCTAGCTGCTGAGCCGTCTCAGCAGTACCATCTGTTGTGAGGCTGGGTCTCTAGCCTAGTCTGGCCACCAATTCCCTGAGTAGCTAAGAATGACCTTGATCTTCCAAGCCTCCTCCTTCTGCCTCCCTAGTTTTGGGATTATAGATGTGCCCTGGAGGTCACATGCTACAGAAGTGTTCTATTAACTGAGCTATACTCCCAGACTTCCACATCTGCTCAACTGGCACAAGTTCATCTGTACCCTGTTCAATCCTGTGAAATGTACCGGTAATCAAAATCCTTCTGGCTGTAAAAGGCAGAGAAAATGCAACAAGGCAATGGAATTTACCCGGGGCAGTGTTAGTGCCCAGAGCTCCACTGCCCTGACAGAGCTCAGCAGATGGAGAACTCTTTGGCATGGCCATTGCTTTGCTTTGCTAAGTAGCTGCCTTCAATCTTGGGCTCCTGGTGTCCCTTTTTTCCCCCTTTGAGAGAGTCTCAGTACATAGCCCAGGCTGGCCTCCGCCTCCTCCCATCTCAGCCTCCCCAGCGCACCCTGCCCAGCTGTCTCACTGTCTTTAAGGCAGGCAGAGTAGCTGGTTAGTACCCTGGAGATGCTTCCGCACGTGTCCAGTGCTCACCACAGATCCCAGGACACTCAGTGCTCTGGAAACACACATGCTGGAGTTTATGTGTTTAACAAGCAGGGATAAAGGGAAAAGGGGTTCCAAACTGAGGCAAGCAGGGGTTCGAATGGAACCTGCAGATGAGGAGCTCATTACGGACGACAGAGCAGATTTCCTGCCTACTGTACCTGGAGCACCTTTAGCAGTGGCCGGTCGCTATTTCTGCCATTGTGATCTGTATCCTGTACTTTTTCTCTTTCATCAGTCCCCCCAGGCTCTTACCTTTCTCCTCTTCTTTTTCCTTCTCCTTCTCCCGGACAGCCCTCCCCTTGAGGGCTCGGCTCCAGGCTCCTCCGTAGTCGCTCAGCTTGGCTTTCTCGCCGGTCTCCTTGCCTTTGAATGAGGGTCCGTACCTGCGTGCGATGCTGGAGGCCTCTCCCGTGTCCCGGAAGCCTCGGCCCAGGTGCAAGTCACCCAGGAAGGGTAGCTCGGCTCCTTCTGCCGGGCTCCCCGCTGCAGGGCTGGCCTGATCCTGGGGCACAGCAGGCTGGCCCACGAAGCCCGCGTGCAGGAAGACGAGGCTACCAGCGGTCAGGTAGAGAGCCAGTAGGGTAAAGAAGCGCACGGGTTTCCTGCGGAAATACCGGAAACAACGCTGGAACTTGAACCAGAGCTTGGCCATAGCCGGATCATTCCGGACTGGCTCAGGGCTGGCTGGGCTGATGGCTGGGAAGGGGCGAGGAGGGCGTGGCTTCCCAGGACACCGTAGTTTGCAACTCCAAGGGCGTGGTACTCTGAGCTCTCTCCTGCGTTGGAGGCGCGCTGTAGCCAGAAAGCAGGCTGGGCTGAGGCCAGAGGAGAGGAGGCCAGAGGTTCTGAGTCCCAAGCTCAAGGTGAACTGCTTGGGGTCAAGAAAGGGGACCTACAAGACGCGGTCTCCTTTCCCCTCATCTTGTTCCTCTCCCCAGAGTATGGCTAAAGAACTCTGGTGAGGAGGAAGGGAGAGGAGTCCAGTACTGCAGGTCACTCTCGCCCCTTCTCAGCCCCTTCTGGGCTGTTGAGCCTGATTAGTTCACTAAGGGCGTTGACAGTGGCCTCTCCTCCAGCTTCGATGGGCGACCAAGCTGTGTGCCACCTTCTGGGCACTCGTGCTGGAAGGCCTCCATCTGGTCAAGCTTCAGGTTTCTGGGCTACCACCTGCAAAACAGCAGTGACACGGGCATGAGGGTCCCACACCAAAACCCAGAATGCAAAGAGGTTCTGAGCAACATCAAAAGAGTATGAAGAGCCCCAGAGAGGGCTGGAAGCCAACGACGGCGGAAGGAAGCACTCTGTGAGGGGTTGCATGGGCTTCGGGGTTCCAGAGCCCTCTCTGCCTTCGTTTTCTGACACAGGGGAATTGGAATGCTTTAGTTTTAATGGCAATTGAAGCTTGGGGGAAATCTTGACCTCAGACAACCACAAGTTCTTATACATTATTTGTACACATCTGTCCCCCAGAATCCACAGGACCTTGGTCCCAGGGAGGCTCAAGTATCTTGGGTACAAAGGTAGGGTTTTATAGGCTCTGCCCACACCCTCCTATATGTTTCAAATCATGTCACATGTCCTAGCACACCTAAGAACTTCAGTGCTCTAGAGTTGTTACAGAGTTCTTAAAATAATGGCAAAGGAGAGCTTTTCTATACATTCAGTATGGACACTGTGTGTGTGCATGAGTGTGTGTGTGTGTGTTGTGTAGCATTTGTGTGTGGAGAGGTTGATACTGGCCAGTTTCTCCAACCACTCCCCTACCCCACTGTGTTTTGAGACAGGGTTTTGTCAATACTGAAAGCTGATTTGGCAACACCACTTGGCCAGCGACCATGCTGAGGGTCTGAACTCAGGTCCCTACATTTATGTGGCCAATTCTTTACCAACGGAGCCGTCTTCCCAGGCCTGGGCATATTTCCCATTTGTTCTCTACCCATGGTTGGTTGAATCTGTTTGTAGAATCTGCCAACAGGGCAGCCCCAGCTGCTTGCCCCTCCCTTTCTAAACAAGCTTCGAATATATTTGTCAAACAAACATGGATTTGTGGGTTCCTTTGAGTCTAAAGAAAGCCTCAGAGACTTTCTGAGCCCAAATTCATTCATATCACTGCCCTTCCCCAGGAAGATTTGGGGAGACCAACTGTGTCCCAGCTGCAGGGGAGATGTGGAGGTAAACACACCTTTTGAGGGTGTGCGCTCTGATGCAGGAACCAAATCCACTGGCCATCATCTGCCTGAGGCAGAAATGGGAAGAGAAGGGAGCAGGCTTAGGTAGCAACACATCCCTGTGATTGGTATTTGCTGAGGGCTTCCAGGTGGCCAGCTCAGTGCCGAGCCTCCTCTGTAGATAGGCTCATCTGTTCTCTTCTGTCTTACAGGTGACAGCTTCAGGGATGAGTTGGGTAGCACTGAAATTTGAAACCACACATTTTTTTGCTTGTTTGTTTTAGACAGGGTTTTATGTGGTTAGCCCTGAACTCCCCATTCTTCCTGCTTTTACTTCCCAAGTGCTGGGATTACAGGTAGTGCCATCTTGCTTGGCCAAACCACAGCTCTTGGCCTTTTGGATTAGGTCTCTTCCCACGTACTCTAGACACTGCCTGGCAATTTAGAGGTAGCCACAAAGCAAAAGCCCACCTCTTTCCAGCTACTGCAGCAACTTTGAGGAGGAGGAGGTTAGGAATTTGAATTCCCCCGGGAACCGATGAAAAGTTCTGACTTTCTAACTAGCATCTCTGTTGTCACAGGTGGCCCTGGAGAGTGCTCCTGGGCACCTGATTTTGGACAGTACATCAGATGGAAAAACAGGATGTAGCTAACTATTGGGCAATGCTGTTTCATATTACCACAAGCAGGGGGCGACAGGATGCTCTCAGCCAGCGCAAGGGGTATCCAACCATTGGTCACCAGCAGAAGCGTGACTCTGGGATAGGCCCTTGAGCCACACAGCAGCATGGAAGCTCTGCCGCCCCACTCATTCAGAAACTCAGTGCTTACTGCACTGACCACCTCCTAGGCACGCAAAACGCAAAAATCCATGTACTTGTGACATCAAACATCCATCCGTCTGTCCATCCATCACCCTCAACCATCACCCACCCGTTAATTTATCCACCCATCCATCCATGTCTGCACTCATCTGTCAGTCTGTCATCTTCCCTCAGCCCACCCACCCTTCATCCCTGCACCCATCCTTCCATCCAACTCCCCACTCAGCCAGGCACTTCCTGTCCTTGCATTCACAGAAAACAGGGCCAGGGAGATGGCTCAGCCAGGAAAGGCAGTTGCCGCCAAACCTGAAGTTCAGTCCCAAGACTCCACATCATGGAGAGAACTGATTTCTAGAAGTTGTCCACTGACCCCCACATGCATGCTTCGGCAAGATCCTACGCACATGTGTGCATGCACACAAATAAATATAATTTAAAATATGTTCATCCTAACTATCTGTGCTAGGAACACAAGAAAAAATAATTTACTCTCTGTTTTCATGGAATTTTTAGTCAACCAAGAGAGAAAGCAAGCAATTCCACAGTTGCTATGTTAACTAGACAATGATAGCCCAAGGTATATATCTCATGATACATAACAACAAGGTGGTATTAACAGGGTTTACAAAGCACTTATATGTGCCACTCCACAGTACACTCACACACATGCACACTCACACAGCATACTTACACACATGCACACTCACACAGCACACTTACACACATGCACACTCACACAGCACACTTACACACATGCACACTCACATAGTACACTTACACACTCACACACAGTAGCACACACACATACACAGTACAATTACACACATGCACACTCACACACTACATTACACATATGCACACGCACACACACTCACACACTCTGACTTAATTCTCCCAACAATTCCGTGAAGCTCTGTGTTGTCTTACAGACCTGAGAACTGAGTGTCAGAGAGGGTAATTAACTTGTCTGAGACCACACAGTTGATAAACGGAAGGTGGGCTATGAGGGCCCTAGGACTTCAGGACCTGGGCATCTTCCTGCCTCTTGCTTTGGAATGATTAGACCAAGTACGTGGACAGAGACAAGCCCTTGCGTGGAGGTCCCAGATTTGGGTTTAAAATGTCAGGAGATTTGAGGACCCTGCTGACCCTGGAGTATGGGAACCTACAGCAGTGGAGGGTCTATTCTTATTTTTAATTTTGGTATTTCTCTGTAGCTTTGGAGCCTGACCTGGAACTAGCTCTTATAGACCAGGCTGGCCTCAAACTCATAGAGATCCGCCTGCCTCTGCCTCCTGAGTGCTGGGATTAAAGGTGTCTACCACCGCCCAGTGCAGTGAAGGGTCTAAAACTGCCTGGGGAGAGAGATCAAACAGGGCTCCTCAGGGAGCTGTCAAAGCCAGTCTAGGAAAAGTAAATAACTCCCTGGAAAAAGCACAACAGAGGAAGGAAGAGCCAGGCCAGGAGGCAGAAAAAGTGTGTGTGTGGGGGGGGGGGGGGGGGTGGGGGAGCCAGACCACAAGGATCCCCAGTGACACGGCCCTGCTAATGGCACAAAACTCACTGAGGTTTCATGATTACTACATTTTAGTCTCTTAATTTTTTGAAGTAGTGTCTCCAGGTAGCCCAGGCTGCCTCAAATTCACCATGTAGCTAAACATGGACTTGAACTCCTGATCTTCCTGCCTTTGCCTCTCAAGTGCTGGGATTGGAGGTATGCACCACACACCTGGCTTAACTCAGGGCTGCCTGCATGCTAGGCAGGCACTCTGCCGACCCTGCTGTGTCCTGAGCTCACTCCACACTTTAAGAAGCTCACCTTGAAGCCAGTGTGAAGACACTGTCTGTGGGAGCCTATGCACTTCACACTCACGTGCCACAAGAGGAAGTTAGGAGTCACTCAGTGCTTCCAGGAATCCCCTCATTCAGCTGTGTAGATCACAGCCTTTTAGATCCACGTGTGGGCCCTGGACATGGCCCACCTGGATTCATGTTGACTGGACAGAGACAGCTGTTCCCACAGCCTTGGGTTACCCAACTCTCCGCTCCCTGCTTCCGTTGTTAGAGGATTAAAGAAACTGAACACTCAAGGCTGCGCCACTGCCTCCTCCAGGCTCCTGTGAGCGCCTGGGAAGCTATTTCCCACCTCAGCGAGGGACAGGCTGATGGTCCCTGCAGCTATTCCCTCGCTGAGGATGCTTCTGCAGCCACTCAGTTGTTTCCTCTGTGCTTTTTACACTGCCACAATCTTTCCCTGAAGTGGTTGCCAAGTGGGCGTTTGGCAACACTGAACTCATTACAGCGGGCAGGAGACAAGGAGAAAGGCACGGTGGGGCAGGGGACAGAAGGAAGAGGGACAGAGAGCAAGGGCTATGACACCCACCTTCAGCAGGAACAGGAAAATGTGAACTTCCTGCCAGGATTAGGAGGGAGAGCACCCACACACTATGCCTTAGCCTGGCACCTGGTGTCCAGTAGGCCCCCAGGAAACCGTGGTGAAGGGGTGAGGAAAGTAGGGACTGGCATCATACCATGGACTGATGTGCTCAGGTAATAGCTCTGTGTGTGTGCGTGTGTGCATGTGTGTGTATGTGTGTGTGCACGTGCGCGCGTGTGTGTGTGTAAATTTGGGTCTCTGAGGGGCAGTATATTGTATTATTTGTCACTGGGTGAGTCTGGGTAGAGAAGCCTGAGACACAGTATCCTGTCCTCAGAGGAACCTAAACACTTCTGCCTCCTGGAGCTGCCAGCCCTCCCCCAGTCAGCGGCTCTCTCTAAGACTTTGTCTCTCATTCCCTCTTCCTCCCTCGCACAGACAGAAACCGTACTCCAAGGCAGACAGAAGAATTAGCGAGCCGTCATTTGCTGAACACACACTATTCTAGGTGCAGGGCTGGAAGGACTTACAAGGGCCTTACACATTCTCTCCTCACAGCCTTTGAGGCTCCCAAGCCCACGGTGTGCGTCCACGGTGTGCGTCCACGGTGTGCATCCACGGCCCTGCATTGGCTTACACAAGCCCTCTCCTCCTTCTCAATTCGCACCATGGACTCTGTTGCCCTTGGCACTTAAGGTGTCTAAACCTCCCTGGTGAGTCAATCACAGAGAAATGGTGCATGGGACTGGGGCTGGCACCCACTGAGGGCAGGCTTTCATGCTACCCCGACCCCTCTTCATTGCAGGAGACCTCTGGGGTCTCAGCATCCTCATCTTCCAGGGACAGGAAGCCTTTGAGTGATTGAATGGAGATTATTTTTTAACAATAGAAGCAACAAAGGGGTTGAGTGGCCAAGTAAGCACTGGGTGCTGGCTGGGGTAGGATGCTCTGCAGAAAGGGAAACCAAGGGGCTGCCTGCCCTGTAGCTCCTTCCTCTAGGAGCGGAGAGTTTCCACACTCCCGAGGGGCTCAGCAAGGATGCTCTGTAGGCTGGGAAGGGCCTGGGCCTCCCTTCCCTACCCCAGAGCTTGACTGGGGGTCAGAGGAGTTGTGGGGTTGGTTAGACAACAGGGACCAACTAAACCTAGGACCAAATTTGTCCAAGAAACGGCTGTTGAGGAAGAAACCTGACTGGTGAAAGCCGACTGGCTCCTCTGGGCCGTCTCTGTCTTCATGTCCAGCCTCCAGACAGCTCACGGAGGAGACGAGCGGAGGAGCATGCCTCCCAGGGAGGGTCTCCATCCAGTCTGGACTTTGTCTCACAGACCCATCCTGTGCATGCCCCCTGGCCTCATCTCATTTCGCTTTTAGAATTTAACCTGTTATTATACTGTGTGTGCACATGTATACTGTACGTGCACATGTGCACAGTGCCTGTGGAGGTCAGAGATCAGTGTTCTCAGTTCTCGCCTTCCACTGTGGGTTCCAGGGCTGAGCCTGGGCTGGGCAGAAAGTGCTGAGCCATCTGGCTTGCTCTGTTTTTTTTTTGTTTTGTTTTGTTTTGTTTTGTTTTGTTTTGTTTTGTTTTTTAATTTTGAGAAAAGGTCTCATGTAGCCCAAGCTAACCCCGAACTCCCTATGCACCCGAGGATAGCTGTGGACTCCTGACCCTCCCACTTCTGTTTCCTGGGTACTGGGTTACAGGCTTGTCCCATCATGCCCAGCTTTGTCCCATCTTTCCCATAACACTGTGTAGCACTGGGACAGAGGTATGGAGAAAGAGGGAATCCTGGTTCTCTTCATCGTTTATCCAAAACTCCAAATAAATACACTTCCCTTCACCAGATTCTGTTTCACAGCTGCTTTAGAAACCAGGGAAACTGAGGCAGCAGCCTAAAGCTAACATTCTCTTCCATCTGATCCAGCCACCGTTACTGGGAAAACCCGGGAGGCCCTGTTTAAGGGCCATCCACTACCAGGGAAGCCAGGTCTCTTTTGGATTCTTAGTCTTATTAATAAAATAATTTTAAAACAGGCTCCA